CTTAAACAGAAAGATGCGTGGTATTGGGGTAGTCAGGCCACTGTAGATCATGCCCTACCGGTGTAGGTATGTTCTTGATCAGAGGGCAAGGCAGGCGGTCATTTCTGTGGAACAAATGTTGTACAGAATCTTGGGTCTGTGGCATTTATCTCAAACAAGCCATGCTAAATGTCATTATCGCCTATGACGCGTCCAATGTATCGAGCAACCGCAATAAACACGTTTCTTAATGACTGCTTCCTTCCTGGGAAATTTTAGATGCTCTACAAACCGAGTAACTTCGGATTGAAGCAACGTGGGATAAATTCCTTGCTGAGGAGAAATCGAGCCTTGGGAAAAAGATGAAGGTTGCCCGCTGCGAAATCAAAATCGGCATCTCCGGAGTTCGAAACCGATCTCATACACACTCTGCAGCTACGCCATTTGAACTCAACACTAGCTCCCAATTTAAAAAAACCGGTAATGAGTGGGTTTGAACAAAATGCAAACCTTCTTCCGTCGTCTTTTCTCATTGGTATTCATTTCTTTGAAACCAACACTGTTCCTCAGCCTTGTGAAAGTTCAGCGGTTGACGGAAAGTTGCTGTCCTCAATTCAGTACGAAAGAGCATAACTGTCTTCCAGGATCTAAACTTCAACTTATGATACCTGCACTTAATGATGGCATTCCTTCATGTGACGGTATCTGTCATTAGTGCTACACTGATCTGTGAGCTATTATATCCGTTAGCTGATCAAACAGATCCTTTTTCCTTGATTAGAACAGAAGAAATAATAAAGATGCTAGAAAGCTGTCGAAGTTAGTAACTGCATAGTTCATTGTGTATTTCCTTGTACAGCTATTATCGAATAAAGCGAGCGATTGGCTCGACACCATTTCTCATACACTGGCAACCCATATCCGGTTGCATCGGTGACAACGACTGGTTCTTTACTCGTCAACAGAGTGATTTAAAGGAACCTAGTGAAGAGATCAGAGAAAGAGGCTATGGAAGTGAGTCTGGTGTAATGAAATGGATATGGAATCGCATCATCTGGAGCCTACCAGAGACACTGCTCAATAACCAGCAAAACATCTTGGCAAACATCTTGGCAAACAGTGGTCTTCAAGGCGCCGGCGCAAGATACCGTGGAAAGAATTCAGGCATTCTTTTGAGGTGGCAATCTACAAAGGCTGTCTGCGACTGGTATATTAGACAACAATCAGACTGTGTTGCTTGCACAAATGACTTACAGCTGTGGGTTGCAAACACGCAATGAAATCGTGGCACTTCGTCTATAGTATTAAGACGCTAACTTTCTGTGATTGATAGATCCCTTGGTATGAACTTTCGAACGTCGAATGACGTATGTGAAACCGCAGACGATCCGCCGCAAATATTAGCAATTGCTGCATAAATTTTCAAGATAGCACAACATACCTTACATAAGGAAGTAAGGAAGTGCCTCAGACTTCCAACCGTCGAACTTCGAATAGCGTCTTCCAATTTTTCGTTGTACACTAAAATAGCCTGCTATTTAAACTGCGCAAAATGCCGACAAGCGCTGTTTATCCTGAATCAGCATTTAAGAGACATTATAGAATACAAATAGATAATTACAACAAGCGGGAACTTAAACGAAAAGCCAAAATAAATTTATACTTTTAAACAATAACAGTGAAAAAAAAAGACAAAATTTCAGATTCTGTTAATGATTCCAGCTGAACTGCAATATAAACTTAACTCAAGATAAAAATTACTAAACAGTAAATTAAACTTAAAATAGTAAATTCTTTGAATAATTTACTAAATTACAATGAATGTTAAGTAAATTAATAATCAACGGTTATCACCCCACCAAAATTGCAGCCGTGATGTGCAGATGGGGCTTGAGTGGCTGTGATCTTCGAAGCTGCCAGTGAAATTTTCGGCTTCTAGCAGGGCCTTCCTTGCTGGGCAGGTTTCAGGCTAAAGGCCAGAAGAAGGTCGATCAGCTTTCTAACTTTAATGAAGAATCACACTGAAAACATTTCTATATCACAGCACTCAGCCTCGAGAGACTAAAGGTCGTGCAGATTGTTGGGGAACCGATAGAGCAAAATGAACGAGCAAAATCTGTTTCACGTATTTCTGTGCATGAAAACGTTGCATAACCGCGAAGGATGATAAGCAGTGTTCCAAAGAAGAAAACACGGTAATAAGCTGTTATTACATCAGTGCGAAGTAGGACACTGGCTACCAGGAAAGTTTCCAAAAATAGAGGAAAGTCTCTCATCACTGATAGAAATGAGCAACGTCTAGCAGACCATAAAGAGAACTTCAAAACAATATGCTGATGACAGAATTTTAGTTGAATGCTCAAAACAGCGCTTGATACTGATGCTACCGGGCAGGAAGACATATCAACGAGGTTAACCCGAAGAAAAACTATTGGAAGACTGACATAAATAACTACGCAAATCACTAAAGAACAATCACTGCAGTAAGTGGTATTCGGGCATTTGAACAGCCATCATAAAAACCTGAATCTTTCCCATTAGAAGCATAAGAAAGCTACGTTGATAGATTCTTAAAGCTAACAACATCCTTAAGACGGTACGAATCAGTAATTTGGTATTCGTCGAATGACTTACATGACAGCTCTTGTAATAACGAACAGACTTAGAGTTAAACCAGAAGCAAACCCAGCAGAAACCAAAAAAAACGAAGGCAAAATAAATCCAACAACTGAGACAGGGGTACACAAAGCAATCAAAGATGAATACAACGAACAACGCAGGTTTGGACAATAGTTGCATGCAAGGAGACCCAGCAGAGGCCGTTTGCTATATCGTCAAAGGGTTGGATATAATATAACAAGTTCGATCAGAACAGAACACGACTTTCGTTCAAACTGTCATGGCCTTCTTTTGAAAACTGGAGGCAAAGAACAAACCCGCAAATAACGCGAAAATCGTTAGTCCTAACGCAGAAAAACAGCTTCAATTCTGGGAAAGAATATGAGACAACTAAGTGCACTGCAATGAAGCTCACAGGTGAAGGAAATAACAAAGAATGCAAATGGAACCCTCGAACAAAAATAGGTTATGATCGCCGCAAAGAATGCGCACGAAGATAAGAAAGATTAAAAACTGAGTACA